TAATCGCACATTGCAGGCAAGAGATGATCCAGTGAAAGCAGTCTGTTACTCCCCTGACAAGCATTCTCAATTATAGACCGTGACAAAGACAAAAAGTCCAATAACACTTCAAAACTTCAAAAAGACTGACTCTAGCAAAGATATTGTCATCATCAAGTTTACTAAATTTATTAAAACTTACTAAAATTATTCCTCTGAGCAAAGATGATGTTGGCTTTAGTTTTGAAGAGAGTATCACTGTCAGGTCATCTGACGCAGTCATTGCCATATCATCCATAGCCAAACTTGCACCAGAACAATTAATCACTGTGAAGGCCCAAGTTGTAAGTGTGTCTGCAGTTAGAAAATTACACTGCTACAATCAAATGATAACACCAAGCTATCCAAACAAGAAGTAGTTATAAGAGATACAACAGTATCAATCTGTGTAGTATTGTGGGGAAAATATGTCAACATGGATAAACCACAGGTGACATATTTGTTTACACACTTGCGTGTGAAGGGAACCAAATTTGAAAAGCACCTTAATACACCAAAAACTGATCCATTTATTTCAAAAGAGTGTGAAGACTTCCAGCAATCCCTTGTAGAAGTAGATGATTAAATTGTCACATCAACTGTTACAGCAACAATAATTGGTATTCAAGATGGAAGTAGCATCAATGGTTGTGTGTCTTGCCATAAACCAGTGATTCAGAAGAGTAACTCCTCTCCACTACGTATATGTCAGTCCTGTCACTTAACACAACCACTTTCAAAATGTTTCACCAAGTGGAGCTTAAAAGTTAGAGTTCTGACTAGCCCCCAACAGTAAAAAATTACTACTCACAATATCCCATGATGTTGTTGAAAATCTGATGAGTACTATAAATCCAGCATATGGAACCTGGGAAATATATCAGAGGATGACATGGTACTTTCCAATTTAGAAGCTGAAAAAGTACATATGACAATAAAATCACATTTTGTATATTGAACTGATAACTTTTTTAAGTCATCTACATTTTTCAGTTGTGTTCTGTTAACTACAATAAATACAGTACAGTCCATTGCAGCCATTTCACATAAATTTCCAAAATATTTTAGGCAATACTATTCAATTACAAATGTTGACAACCAAAATGTGACAAACATAATATGTATACAAGTGCAATCTAGCCTTTAATAGTTACGTAACGTGTTTTGTTGGGTATATGTTTAATAAAACTTTAATGCATTTTATTTTATACTTCCAGACTTTATTTTGTCTCACCTCTAATTCCTGTATAAATATAGCTAAAGTATCCTCATTCCTGGAAACTCATCATTTTATTCTGGAACAATTTCTATTATTAACATAAAAAATACCAGCCCTCCAAGAAAAATCAACTGCGTGCATGCAAGGCAGCGCTTCAATTGCGATAGTAAATTCTAGTTATATTTGTTTTCAACAGGAAAATCCAAATCGAGCATTTGAGTGGCTTTGCCCCCGTTAGTTGGGCAAGTTATTTACAGTCCCAAAACTATATAACAATAGAAAAGAAATATTACTACAAAAAAATTTGTGAGAATATAGTGGGTGGCATTGAAAGAGAGAGTTACAACTCCAAAAAGTCATAGCTTACCGTTTGATGTTTTGACTTCTATATTCAAAGATACATCCTCAACTGTTGTATCACCTTTGCAAAGTCGCAGCAATAAATCTCTTTATTTGTTCAGGTGTCATGCCCGGTACACATTGATTTACAGTGAGCTTAACAACTTTATCAAACATATGATATGCTTGATAACCTTGTTCACCAACAGCATTTGATGGCTTAGCATGATAGAGGGGCTTATCTGCAACCTGTGGCAACTGACCTGGATATCCAGTTAAAATTAACGATTTTCCACCAAATATGTAATCATTATGACCAGTTGCTTGTTTGCAAGGCTTATTGTAACTCTTAACTTAGCCAAGCATGGAGTATTCATCAATAACAATGTATTCAATATTTGTAACACTCTCTGCACAGGCCTTGTCCTGTTAGGTCTTTATTACCTCTTGATCCTATAGGTAATTTTAACGGAGAGTGCACACCTCTAATGTTATAAGCTGCATTACTTGGAGTAGCAGTAACAGCACATTTACTTTGCAAAACAGTTCTAAGAGCATTAATAAGGTAAACTGTTACCAATTCCTGCAACACCATTGATAATTAGATATAATGGCTCCTTCTCAGACAATACATCATCAAAATGAAACTTAGTAATCTCATAAGCAAGTTTTTGCATTTCACGAAAATTGTTTATGTCAACAACATCATTTGCTCATCAATAGTGCAGTCCTCTTTGTTTGTTTTTATCCATGTTAGCATTTTATGGATTTGTTGTTCAGAGAAATTAGTTCTGTCAAAATGGCAATCGTAGGCTGACTCTGGTGTTTGTTCAGAGTTTTCAAAAGGATTATGTATGAAGATCTGATATCATTCACTCCTCTCGAGTTCTTTTGTGATCTTCTAAAGGCTCATCTTCTTGCTGTTGACTTTGCATGACAGCTTGTAATTTGTCTAGCCAATCTGGTACATTAGATTCAGGTGCGTAGCCAGCCCCATACGAATGGGGGGTCCATACAGATTTGGTATATCTTATCCCATAGGTGAAATATTTACGAGATTAGCAAAGCATGTGTGTAATAAACTAATAATTAACACACCAAATTAATCGATAAAGAAAGTTTCAAGAACTTGTTATTAAGTTGAGAACTACTTTAATGCATTTTAAAATCACTTTCTTTTTGGATGGTAATCTAATTGTGTTCTTTTTTCAGGAGTATAACTTTGCATCTAACTTTTAGATTAGACGAATATATTACAGTAGAAGTTTTCTAGGCTTCAAAGCAAATATATCAACAAGATAATGTAACTTAATATATTCGGCTTCATGTCTTTCGCTAGAAACAAGAACCAAGCTCTCAAGTCAATCTTCGCCCACAGTTGCTCTCATATAATTGTTGATAATTTTAACTTTGCTGTGGCATCTTTTGCATGAAGCTATTGTAACTGGAATTGTTGCCACAATACAAATGATTCTGTAAAGGTTGGGATAAAGGCCAGCATGATCACTTTCACCAAACTTCTTTAATACTAATGGAAGGTAAGGGTTCTTCCACCCCTGCTTCTTGCGTGTTTTCATCTCCTCCATCAAACTGCAAAAGCATCCAGACTCTCGAAACAAGGAATATTCCGAACAGGTTGCTTCCAACTACTTTCTTGGGCCCAATCACGCGTCCATAGATTATATGAGTGCTTATGACTGGTTACTTCATCGCATTCAACCGAGTAGTACTTGCTTTCCTGAACTTTATCTTTATAATATCAAAAATGTGATTTGCTGAAATTTCTATCATTTCGTTTTGAATATCGGGACTGATCCACAAAACACTTCCAGGATGTGTGTCAAGCCATTTTTGCAGCAGAGGATGATACTTTGCGAGAAACTTGATTTATTGAATTTCCCCCATCCTTGTCCTGGATGTTATTGAATGGGACAGAAAAGATAACTTGGGTAAGTCTCCAGTGCAAAGGAAAAATAAACATCAAGAGGACCTTATCAAAGTTAACATTCAATGTCTGGGAGAAACAAGATGCTGATGGAAAGAGCAGTGGATTAATTTCACAAGTTTAATGGGGTCAGACAAAAAGCTGCTCTTAAAAAGACTCATATGAGATAAGCTACATGGCATAATCAGACCAGAAACCAGTGACACTGTAGTTCAACTCTGGAAGGTAATTAATGTAATTATTTATTTACAGTAACACATGCAGAATGTGGTCACCCAATCATCCGAGCCTACGGCTTATAAATGTATCAAGTGTACAAGATCACTTTACAAGAGTAAACAGTACCTGCCTGTAACATCCATAATTATTTTATCTGCAAGACTTTGATGTTGTTTACACAACACTTGGACAAGACAATCCAAACAATGAACAAGTTATGGACTACTTTGTCAAGGTTTGTAAGGTTTAATTACTAGCCAAGTCACTCTTAGGGTCACAGAAGAACAGTATTGCTTTGCCAGATACATTATTTTTTTGTTTGTTAATTATCTAACAGTTTTGAGTAGGAAATTAAATTCTGCATGCGTGGACTGGGTAAACAACGTAAGCTGGCCCTAGTAACTGGTCATGCTATGCTAATTTATCGGCATCAACATCGCATGAAAACAATACATTTCTAAAGTTTTGAATAATGTAAACATCATAAAATTTGCATAGCATGACCAGTTGCTATAGCTGGCTTCACCACTGGCTACCTATAAATAGATTTTTAAAATAATTAAGGTTTCACCCCATGTATACAAACTGTAATCCTGTTCTATGTGGGTTTGTCATCTTGGTGTCAAAGGATTTAGCTTCAAACATTATTTTTGTAGGAGTCGAGAAACTCCATGATGACTGCAGAAAGATTCACCTGGTCAAACAAGTGGGATGCCCCAAAAGATGTTCTTCTTGTTGAAAAATGACCACCTGCCTGAGTGTGAGAGGACCCCAAGGCAATATGTGAGGTGAAATGTCGAGTACTGGGGAAATTAGATTAGGGGAAACATGCAAAACGCAAAAAGATGAGTTGTGAAGTCCTACCTGAGGACAATTTGCAAAATGCATCAGTTGTTGACATTGAGAGTCCTAGCATAGCTGAAGTTAAGTTTAAGTTGAGGGAAATGGGTATACATCCTCGTACCCAGGGTCTTCATTACCTACAGCAAAGACCCTGGTATTGGTTGGTCACGTGCTCTGTGTAAAATTTCTCTTTCGTGGGGGGGGGGGGTGTATATGAAGGAATAATTATTTGCCATGTTGAAAAATTCAAAGTGTTTGGTTTTCTTGTCTTGTTTGGATTTCGCTATTAAAAATAGTTTCTTTAACGAAATTATTTTAAAACCTAAACAAGTTCTTTGTCTGGAGAAGATTTTCCTTCAGCGAGATACTCTTGTTGTTCTGCCTACTGGGTACGGCAAATCTTTGATATTTTATCTAATGCCCGCACTGTTGTTTGGTGAAAAATACGGTGTTGAACATGTTGATCATGATGTCAATATTACCTCTGTTGTAATAGTTGTATCACCTTTAAACGCCCTTATTACAAATCAAGTCAATCGTTTGAAGTTACACGGGATTGAAGCAGCTGTGCTTGATATAAAGAGTTCGGTGGCAGTCAATGCTCTCGGCGGTGATTCTGGAGCTTCGAGCAAAGATCTATCGGAGGACGAAGACAAAAATACTGATACCGATGCTGTTTGCGATCTTCTGTTCAGTGATAGGAAAAAATTGGGAAAGGGACAATATAATATCGTGTTTGCTCATCCTGAAGTTCTGGTATCGAGTAAATATGGCCGAAAATTAATGCAGTCGAAAACTTATCAAGAAAATGTTTGTGCTGTTGTAATTGACGAAGCTCATTGTATTTTAGAATGATAAGTGCATAAATCAATCTTATAATTACCTTAGCAAATGTTAGAACATAATATAACACAAATATTATTTATTTATTATCATATACTTCTTTTTGAAATAGGGGGAAAGACTTTCAAGTTGACTATTGTTTCAGCCATGTTTTCAAGTTCACCTGTTATTGCAATGACAGCCACTGCAAACAAAAATGACAGGGATCTGATCAAGAGTTCATGGTTGTTGCTAAAGGGGATGGATAATAATAATAATAATAATATAGTCATTTAAATATAGCGCTTAAATTATGTTAAAAATATTCTAAAGCGCTGTACAATTAAAAGTTACAGTTATAAATATGCTCTAAAACCATTCTAAAATTATCCTACTAGAAATTAACACGATATTTACACTTAATAGGAAGTTTGTCTATTCAAATGCCTTCCTAAATAAAAATGTTTTTAATTGAGTTTTAAAGGAATTAATTGTTTCACACTGTCTAATTTGAAGTGGAAGAGAATTCCATATGAGAGGGGCAGCGTATTTAAATGATCTGTCCCCAAGAGTTTTTGCATTAGTTTTCGGGATATTTAACAAGGAACAATTATCCGACCTTAAATGGTATTTGCTTTCAGGCTTATACGACAGTAGATCAACAATGTACTGAGGTGCCATTCCGTTAAGGGCTTTGTAAACCAGTAATGCAATCTTGAAGTCAACTCGAAACTTTATTGGCAACCAATGAAGATTCATTAGAACCGGAGTGATATGAGCAGATCTTGGTGTAAAACATATCATTCTTGCAGCCGCATTAAGAACTCTTTGTAAACGCTGATACTGGTACTGTGGAATCCCAAACAAGAGCGAATTACAGTAGTCTAAATGTGAGGTTATAAATGCATGCACAAGAATTTTAGTTGTCTCCTGAGAAAGAAACTTCCTTATTTGTCTGATGTTATATAATCCTCTAAAAGCTTTGCTGCAAACCTTCCCGACGTGAACATCCATCGACATGTTTTTATCAAACCAGATACCTAAATCCCGAACACTTTCAGCAGGTTTAATATCCACGTCCCCTACTTGTACAGAGTTAATTTCAATCTTCTTCAACTGCTGACGAGTGCCGATTATTAAGAATTCTGTCTTGAGATCATTAAATTTTAATTTTTGAGAAACCAGCCAAGCGTGGACATCAGTTATACATGCTTCAATAGCCCGAACTGCATCATTTTGACAAACAGGCGACTCAGGACAAAAGGACAAGTACAGCTGGGTATCATCAGCGTATCCGTGTGAAGATGGTAAATGCTTTCCAATAATTTCAAATAGTTTCGACACATACAGTAAAAATAGAATCGGTCCGAGACAGCTTCCTTGCGGAACACCACAGGTCATGTGAGAGGTCTGGGTCTAGTTGCGTGTTTATTGCGTGTTCGTGGTAAGCGCGAGAACGTCTTAATGAATGGAAATTTTGTTATTATATATTATATAATTATATTACAAAGATCTATTTGCTATTCAATCGAACTCACGCAATGATTTATAGGGTAAAAATTATAACATGTTTTAACCACAGTCCACAGATCAGTGGTTTTAACACGGAAAAGGTATGCGTCTTTCGATATGGAGTCACAAATGCTTTAATTTTCTGCCTTCCATATTAGTGATATTACTGTATTTTATATAAGGAGTTTTATTTAATAGCATACTGCAAACAGCACAAGGATTTGAAATATTCTCTAAAGCAATTGCTTTGTAATCCCTTGTGTGTTACCTTTATTATTCCTGGTTTATTATGAAATATTTTAGTATTTTCAAACTGAAATCAAATATAAATCTGTTCTGCTGTACCCACACACACCCTACATTAGTATTCACTCTATCTAATGCCTGATTATTTTAGTCATCAGTGGTAGATGATTGTAGACTGATTACTGATTAGAACAAAATTATCTGTCATGATCAGTGATCATGATCAGTAAAATCATGATCTCTTAATTGTTAACCCATTAGCTTTAAATGCAATAAAAGGTTTTTGCAACTGACTAACTAAAAGATAAAATACTCATTAAGTAAAATAATCTGGCATTATAGATTAAGTTAGATACTGAAACAGGCTAATCATGGAACATTGCCAGTTAACTGATGGGTTAATTATATAATTACAGTACAAGTTCCTATGAAATGATGAAAGACTTTGTTTCAATTGAAACATTCTGTTCAGTTAATTTGGAAGGAAACATTGTTAACATCTGTTCTTGGAGGCATTGATGCAAATGATCTCTCATCTGTGACTGTAAAAATGTTATATTCTTTAAACAGATTCCTTTTGCCAAGGCAAGAGCATTTGCAATTGCAAAAAGGCCACAATCACTTTCTCCTATTTGCCTTTGACACATACAGACTTTCACTCTTATCGGTTGATGTTCTTCAGTGTTGCCATATACATGTAAAAGCTGACAAGCAAGTTTCGATGAAATGGATGGTGTCATTGAGTCATATACAGTTATCTCCCCTTTAGACACACAAGAAACAACCCAATGCATATTGCCAGAATGGTGTATTTGAATACCACAGGAGGCAGTTATAGGACATGGTTGTGATTTCTTGCTGCTCACACATAAAGAACTTGATAAGCCCTTCACATCTGGAAACTGCTTGTGTATAAGATCATGGGCAGTGTTAATTATGCTATCATTCAGCCATGCTTGATTACTAAATAGTATTTTTTCATCTTCTTTTCTAAGGCCAAGGGAAGGAACCCATGTCGTGTCAGAACCAAGTTCTTCTGCAGTACCTTTGAGACTTGTTAAGTCTACTACACTTTTAACAGTACATTTTGCAGATTTTGGAGTTGTGTTTTGGGAGACATTGTTAACAGGAACGTTTACCTTGTAATGCTTCCTCATCATTTCAGCATGGCGCCCAACTCGTTTAGAATATGGATGACGAGGTTTGCCATACTTTCTTTCAGGAAGACTATCTGTAACATTTACTTTCTCTTTCCTTGCTCTTTTTGACAATTTCGAAGACGCTGCCGTCGATTTTCTTTTCCTTCTCTTTTTTTTTCATCCTCATCCTCCAGAACGATTCCATTGTCAGACTTAACCAAATGTTCCGTTTCCTTATACATGTGTTGGAGTTGACCCTCAAGATTTTCAAGGCTAGGCACATCTTTCAGCAAATATGTTAGTCCGTTTAGCTTCTTTATGATAACCCTGCATTTTGCCTGCAAAAGTTTCCTGCTTGTTTTTCTCCTTGGTGGAAGTTTTTGTGTGTGATCAAGAGGGTCAAGCAAATCGTTCCCTGCCTCAAATGATGTGTGTTCTTCAGACAATGTCAAGCTGTCTGGCTTAAAATGGAGAATAAACAAATTACGATGTTGAATAGGAAATCACATGATAGACAGCCTGGCAATATGACTAAATCATTTGATCGTTTTTTGAGAATGATCATCGTCCTTTGTGCACTCTAGTAGTGCATGTGCAAGTTACCTGTTCTTCTTTGTGAGCATTGTCTTTTGATCCAACTGATGACTGGAATAGGCATACCTCGTCAAGATTTAGTATAGAGAAGCTTTGGTATAACGGGCTCAAATCATTCCAGTTTTGTTCTGTATTTCTAAACACAGCACAAAAATGTTTGCAGGGAAGCTTCGTTTTCTTCCAATCGGCGCATTGACAACTTGGATGGCTTGTTTCATCACCAAAACTAACATTATACCATTTGGGTGAAGTTGAACTCAGAACTTCGTATTTCCCATCCTCCAACTTTTTAACGTTGTCGCTTGTGTGCCAGCAATCTTCCCATCTTTGTAAAACATGCGCAACAACAAATCTTGGTCGATTCCGCAAAAACTCTGGAATATCCTTGTTGTACATTCGATAGCCCGACGAATATTGCACATTCAATGAAACGTATCTGAAAAGTAATAAAAGATATGTTTCTTGCCAATCACCCGAAGACGAGGGAATGAATAACGAGGGGTAAAAATAGATGCATGTAACGTAATTTTTCTCTCTGAAACATATATTCATATAGCTGAAATTGTGAATTACGATTTTAACTGAAAGTACTTAAGTCAGTTAAGAAAGAAAAACTTACTTTAAATAAGAGTCAGGTAGAAAATTTTCAATCACGACAGATAGCATTTCACTAAGGGAACAATTTTTGTAACCAACCAGGTATTCGTATTTCAATGTTTCGTTCTGACGCTCTACCCCATTATTTGTATGGATTGCTATTTCCATGTTTTCTATCTGATATGCTTGTACCCATCTCTAAGAAAGCAAAAAATACTTAATTTAAAAATATTAGCAATTGAAGGCTACTGAGGTCTCTGTAAGCTAATTTAAGTGTAAGAATTAAATTTCGCTATTAGGTTTCGCGTATTTGGAAAGGAATTAAACTGTTTATCCTGTAAGAAATAACATTTTGGCTTTAAAGTAAGATGACAAACCAGACTAGCTCTAGTACATTATGTCATTCCTATCCGCATGTTGCTTAAGGCACGCATCAAATATCAAAGCTGGGTTTTTTTTAAATCTTATACTACACGTTTGCTCATGAATTACTGGTTTTACTTTAAATAATAACCTTTGCATTTGGTAACCACTTTCCCTCTTGCCATTTTTGAAGTCTTGTGGAGGACTTCCATAACAAACTTTCTTTCATAATTTTCACAGCGTCCTCGAACTCGTTCGTTGTGGTTGATCGGGCAATAGAACGAAGATAGTGCAGAATCTCGTCTTTGTGCCCTGATACACCATGGTCAGATTTGTTTATCCATTCACCCCATGCCTTTTCCCGATGGAAGTCACATAAAAACACCGTGCTTCCTAGTAAAATAAATTCAGAGTTGATCCGGGCATTTATCCAACAAATGGGAAAACTGGAGCGGTTCAAGCAAGCACTCCTTGTGGCAGGAAAATTTTTCGTACTGGAAGGTTGAAAAATTTCGCGTCGCTGGCGTTATACTCGTTGTACGCACACCACCATTGTCAAAAAATCTCATTGAGTGATGATGT